GCAATCGAAATCATTCTTCCCCAATTTGATCGACTGTATACATCTGTTCATGTCGTGTGTATGGTACAATTCGCAGTCGATATCATTCTTTTTTTTGTGTGTTTATAGCTACATTTTCACTGTTGTTGTGGTGGTGGATATGGAGAAGATGTTTGTGCCTTGTGATGGTGGTGATGGTGGTGTAGCAGGGCAGCACCAGGTTGAGACGGGGCAGAGAAGAAGACCTCGTTTTTTTCCATTCTTTTTAATGATTATTGTTATTAAATATAAAATATAACAAACAATTACAAAACATATTAAAATACTAAAAAAAAAGCATATAAGAACTTGTAATAGTACAATTTATATTTAATTCTTGTTTAATTTTTTTATTTTTATTTTTAAGAATTAAAGATAATATATAATATTTATAAAATTAAAGTGATTCTAAAATTTAGTGTGATATACTTTACTAATTGCCAAAAACCCCCTTAGGGTATCTTTGTCTATTCACCACTAGTTAAAGCCTAAAATCAAAATGGGTGCAGTGTGCTTCGAAAACGTTAACACAAGGGGGAGTTAGTGAGTTTTTTTATTACAGGGGGGTATTTGACAATTAGAGATTACACAGGGGTGGTATTTGCAATAAGCTCATTGAAGATATTAATATTACATGATACATTTCACTAATAGCTTAACATTTTGGTTCAGATGGTCGTTCAACAATTTTTATTACCAAAAACCCCTTTGTTTTAAAAATTACCCACAGTTGGATTCCTCTTTTCAAGGTCTTTCTTTTGGTTGTAATTTGGTAAGAGAGAGAGAGAGAGAGAGAGAGAGAGAGAGAGAGAGAGAGAGAGAGAGAGAGATTAATCTGGAGAGAGACGTGAATATAAATGTTAAATTTAGGGTAAAAAAGAGGAAAAAATATTAGGAATATGGGTCATAATGTATTGAAAAAAATTATTTGAGATTGTCATTTAGTCCGAATTAAGTTTGGTAGGAGAGCCCCAGAATTGTAACCCCTATTTTTTTTATACATTCAAGCTTTAAAATGCAATTATCAAACAATCTTATTTCATTGATGGGACAATTAATTAGTGGAAAGTACCTCTCATTGGGCAACCTAATTTGAGATAAAGACATACACTTATTTGGATTTCGATTAATTTCCAAAGGTATATATTTTCATTTGAGCTAAATCCCTCGCGCAGTCGTATAGTTACGGTTTGCCAATTAGCTATAGCAAACCCGTCATGTGGCCATACCTGATATGCCGACAGGGCTGCAGCACGAGCTGCACCATTCAAAGCCTTTATGCTGGGATTTTCGATTAAAGCTCCATGGGACTCGTATGAGATTGATGGACTTATATAGGCACGAAATTCACCACCCTTAATCGAAAACAAATCTTTGCTAATTTTTAATTTCCACGTATGGTTAATTTCTTCAATCTTCACTAACAGAAATTTGGCGCCAACAATATCAATTGTGTGTAATTTAAATAATCAGTCAATTGTCTCACTATTTTTAATTTGTAGAATTAACTAATTTACAGTTGAGTGAAATTATTTGAGTTAACTTATTCAATTGATTTTAAACTAGTTAACTGATATGAACCAATGGAGTAAACTGATTCATAACAGAGAAATCAATTGGCCATCTAATTAGAATCAGTTGGCCAATTCAGTTGGAAAAAGCGGGCAAATATATATTATTTTTTTAGGGTAAATAACACTTAACCCCTTGTGGTTACAAGTTTTTGCAGATGGCCCTCTTGTACTTGTAATATTAGCATATAACCTCCTTGTGGTTGATAAATGTAGTATCCATTAGTTTTTTCATTAAACTTAACTACGTGTGTCAAACTTAAAGGGGGTCATCTGCAAAAAATTAAAGGAAAAATGTAAGCACGGGGATCATCTGCAAAATAGAGTATTTTGACGTTTGACAACACCGACAGTCAGGGGCGAGTCCACCCAAGGGCTAGGGTGGACTCAAGCCCCCCCCTCACTTCCCAAATTTTTACTATTATATATATATATATATATATATATATATATATATATATATATATATCTTCTATTTAATTTTTGAGTCAATTCAATTATATTATTTAAGTCCACTTATTTTTAGTCCACTTACTCAACGCCCCCATGTATATTCTATTAATTTCTTTAGTCTATTTAATTGGAATCCTATATATATCCTATTTCTTTGAGTCTATCCACTGATATTATATTATATTATATATATATATATATATATATATATATATATATATATATATATATATATATATATATATATATATTCTATTTAATTTTTTAGTCTATTTAATTATATCATTTAAGCCCACTTATTTTTAGTCCACTTACTCAAAGCCCCCTATCACCCCATGTATGACTTGCTCTCATTTTCTATATCTCAAGTTCATTACGTTTCTTGAAAAAAAAAAAAAAATTGTTCTCTCTCACAGTCACACTAATAGCCGTTAAATTGCCATCCACCGACGATCGTTTTAGCATTTGACAACTTCTCTGTGTCAATTTGATAATCGACTTGATATTCATGTTTCTTAAATTTTCATAGCAATTTAGCTTTCGCGATTCGTTTTGGGATTATCTTCTGAAAGTGAAGGAAAAAAAATTCATATCGAATTTTCATCTCAAATTTCTTTCGTAGCAAAAAAAATTTCGGGGGCGCTGCCCCCGAACCCCCGTGTGTTTAAGCCCCCCCTCACCAAACTTTCTGGCCTCGCCACTGCCGACAGTTAATTTTAATGGAAAAACTAACGAAAGCTACCCCCTACCAACCACAAGAGAGTTATGTGCTGATCTTACAAGCACAATAAAATCATCTGCAAAAGTTTGTAACTATAGAAGGTCAAATACTATTTATCTTTTTTT